TGATGGCTTCATAGAATGTGTTCGGTAGTGAACTCTCTCTCTCACTTTCATTGAAGAGTTGGAGGAGTATTGGTGTGAGCTCTGCCTTGAAGGCCTTGTAATATTCCGCTGTAAAACCATCTTGTTCTGGACTTTTTTTAGCTGGGATGTCTTTTATTGCTGTTTCTATTTCAATGCTTGATATGGGCCTGTTAAGATGGTTTAACTCATCTTCATTGAGTTTTGGCAAGCCAATATTTGCTAGGTAAAGGTCCATTTCTGTCATGTTCTCAAACTTATTAGCATAAAGTTTTGAGAAGTATCCCCTTATAATGTTCTGAATCTTGGCTTTTTCCGTGGTGATGTTTCCATTCTCATCTCTGAGTTTATATATTTGGTTGTGTTCTCTTCTTTTTCTGATAAGATTTGCTAAGGGTCTGTCAATTTTGTTAATTTTTTCGAAGAACCAACTCTTTTTTTTGTTGATTCTTTCTATGGTTCTTTTGGATTTTAATTCATTTAATTCTGATTTAATTTTAATTATTTCTTTCCATCTACTGGATTGGGGTTTATCTTGGTGCTCTTTTTCAAGGAGGTTTAGATGTGTCATTAAATTCTTGGTTTCAGATCTCTCCAATTTGTTGATGTAGGAGCTCAGAGGTATAAAATTGCCTCTGAGTACTGCGTTTGCTGTGTCCCAGAGGAGCTGGTAATTTGTGTGTTCATTTTTGTTGAATAGCATGAATACTTGAATTTCCTTTCTAATCTCTTCCATGATCCACTCGTGATTCAGCATAGTGTTGTTCAACCTACATGTGTTACTGGACTTTCTTTGGTTGCTTTTGGTGTTGAGTTTTAATTTTATTCCCTTGTGGTTAGAGAAAATGCAAGATATAACTTCAATGTTAGTGCATTTAGACAAGTTTGCTTTGTGGCCTAAATGTGGTCTATTTTAGAAAATGTTCCATGTGCTGCTGAGAAAAACGTGTATTCTTATGCTGCTGGGTGAAATATTTGGTAGATGTCTGTTAAATCTAGTTGATCTATGCAGCAGTTTATATCTGCGGTTTCTCTGTTGAGTTTTTGCCGAGTTGATCTATCTAGTGGGGAGAGTGGTGTGTTAAAATCCCAAACAATTAATGTCTTTGGATCTATATGGGATTTGAAGGAAAGTAGTGTTTCTTGGATAAATTGTTTGGCGAATTGATATTTAGAATTGTAATATCCTCCTGAAGGAGAGATCTCTTAATTAGTATGTAGCGACCTCCTTTATCTCTTCTCACAAATTTTAATTTGAAGTCTATTTTATCTGATATTAGGATTGCAAATTCTGCCTGTTTATGGGGACCGTTTGCTTGTTAGATTTTGTTCCAGCCTTTAACATTGAAAATGTGTTTGTTTTTACGGGCAAGATGTGACTCCTGCAGGCAGCAGATAGAAGGGTCTTGTTTTTTAATCCAACTAGACAGTCTATGTCGCTT